TCAAATATAAGTAATCCTTCTTATATTGTTCAAACATATATATTCAAAAAATGCCTCACTCCTCATCTTTATTTCTACCTTCTTCTATATCTTTCTTGTACTATCTAAACATTTCTCTATTACATATGAACAAATGTAACTAAGTTTCATTTATATCGATCCAGTTGATCCTAACCTTGTCAATAACCTCTATCACATTTATCCATTTTATATAATCCTCATTATAGTGTACATCTCTTCTTTAGTGCTTCAATTCTTTGGTATAAGGTCTCTGCTCCAACAGGGGACTGGACTAGAAGACCTCCAAGGTCCCTTCCAACTCGGTTGTTCTGTACTTTGCATAACTTGAGCTATAAGGATAAAATGCACCTTGTTCATGGCGATGGTTCTGAATGAGCTTGGCTTTCGGTGCCCATCCTTTTCACCTTGCCTGCTTCCCTGAAGGGACTTTACCCTTGCCCTGACTTTGAGTTCTTATTTGGAAGTGGAGAATTGTTGCCCTTTTTGTGGCATTACCAATCTGTCTCCAGCCTCCTTATCTTGGCTGTCAGGAAGCAACAAGTCTTTTGGAGCTGTCTCACAAGAATCGGCAGGTGACGGGGGAACTCGTAAAGGACGAGGGTGTCATTTGTCCGAAAAGCAATTGACTATCTGTTGGGAAGGATTGAGGCCCTTGTGTGACCTTGGCATCCGTTCTCCGATGAAAGCGGGTGAAAGTCCAAGATAACAAGTGTCTGAATCCCTGATAGGATATTCATAGATGTAATTTACATGCCCTGATACTATTAGAATAATCCACGGGGGGACCATCTGTTGGTCTCCTCCTTTCTTCACATAGGAACATGAGGCTGTTGGCTTGTTTGGTGTTATCGATGCTCGTGCCTAACGGTGTGCTGCATCCTTTCTGTGGCTGTTCGTTTTCACAAGCTACGAACTTGGCTACCTTGTGTTATTTCTTGGAAAGGAACTTTGGCTGCATGCGGTGACCCTGACTCAACGCCCACTTTTTTGTGATAGCAAATGCGACGGTCATCCCAGAAGGAAACATGATTCTAATGAGATTGGTGTCTTAAGTCCAAAATCGCTGCTTAAACCCTGGAGGAATTTAGATCCAGCACTCCGCACCTCGCACTGGGTTGTTGTGGCTTTAAAAATGCAGAGGGAGATGTTGTCGATGGGCTCCTTGGAAGGAAAGGCATGATAAAATTCAATGGGAAATATATATATACATATATAACTTCATTCGCACCTGATTCTTTGGGAGATTTCCCTGGGCCATTGACACCCCACACACTTTATTTTTGATTCGGTCACGGTGAAATAATGGATCTCCTCTACATGCCCCGCTGGTCGTATTTCAAGTTTGTTTCTCTTCCTTGAGGATGGAGCAAGGAATTAATCTGCGCAGCAAGTATACTTTTTTGCTTCCCGAATTAGAGCGCTTCGTGGAAACCAGCCCTCTCAAATATAGGACAGAAGGTAGGAAATTAGGACGTAGAGAATTACTTGAGCTGGGAAATGGCAAGTAAAATTGAAACGCTGGAGCTAAATCTTTGTTGGACTGTCAACCATCTTTTTTTGCGAATAATACAAACCCCGGTTGCTGCAGAAGGACCTCAGATGAAGATAAATGTAGCCAAGAAGTGGTCCAATGAATAATCTTGAAAGATCTGGGTTCAGATCTTATCACCCTCATGCCCCATCTATTCATGATGGGCTTCCAAGTCTATATTAGAGGTTTATGAATGTAGAAATTATAATACTTGTGGTGGTCAGTGGGATTTAAGATTGCTCTCAGCAGTTTATACCATAAGTATCACTAATAGGCTGAGAAGANATTTTTTTAAAAAAAATAAACTCTTTTTGAGTTTTCTGGATAAATTCGTGCCTTCAGGTAGTCCTTGACTTCCAACCGTTCATTTAGTGACGCTTGAGAGTGACCGTGACACTAAAAAAACAGTGAACTTATGACCGTTTTTCAACACTTATGACCGTTAGAGCATTACCCCCCGATGGTGGTAAAAAGGGAGCAAAATTCACTTAGCAGCTGTCTCGCTTAGCAACGGAAACGCTAGGCTCCATTGTGGTTGTACGTCAAGGATTGCCCCCCTATGCAAATCTCTGCACAGAGGTGGTCCTCGATTTACGACCGGTTGCTTAGCAACGGTTTTGAAGTTATGACGGAGCCCTCCCCAAAAGGGACTTAGGACCCCAAATTCAACGTTCCGATGGCTGTCACATGATCGCAATTTGGACACTTGGCAACCGATCCGGATTAATGGCCATTTGCCGCATCCCACAGTTGTGACCATGAGTGGCCACTTTCTTTTGCCAGAAATAATGTATTGCTATTTTCAGGCAAAATAAAACACCCATTCCGGAAAATGAGGTTTGCTTAATGACTGCGTTGTTCACTTAGCGACTTTTCATTCACTTAATGACCATGCTGATTTGCATAATGTCCGCTGCGAAAAGGTCATCAAATCAAGTTTCTGCTTATGGGATGAATTGCTTGACCATTTATATGACCGTAATCCCAGGCTCAATTTGCGGTCGTAAATCGAGGACTACCTTCAATCCCGCCAAGGTGGGCCTTCGTGCCCCCCGAGCTAAGAAGAGAAGGGGTCCTTGGAGGTCTCTGAGCTTGGTTTTCCTTGCAGACGTTTCACAACCCAACTAGGCAACCTCATCAGTTCTGGATATGCAAACACCTCTCCCTTGTAGCACTGAGGGCGTTGTCTGGTTGGGTCGTGAAACATCGGCAAGAAAACCACCAAACTCAGAGACCACCAAGGACCCCGAGCTGCAAATATTCCCCTTTATTGAGCTCAGAAGGAGAGTGGAGCTCTCGCCTGACAATCAGGAGGCTGTTAGTTCGATCCTAAGTCGAGGCAGATATTTCTCTCTCTGGGCACAATGAGAATATATCTGCCGAACAAAACTCCTCATCGGCAACAGGGAAAGGCATCTGGCCCCTAAAACATTCAGCTCCATTCAGTTGCTCAGGACTCCACCCCGCCAGGGATTTGGGGGTCGTTAAAAGAGGACGATTGAGCTCAGAGGTCTAGAGAACCAGCTCAACTCCCTTGGGGGCTTCATCCCATTTATCTGGAGGGTCTTTCCCCCCCCCCTTCCCCAAATCCCCGCGTGCCTCAACCACGGTTAGCTTCCGCGGCTGCCCTGTGTTTCTGTCGAAGCTTTGAGTGGGTGGGCAGTTTCGGTGTGGCCTCCTCTGCTTCCTCTCCCAAGTCTGCTCCTTTCACCTCGAGCGGGACCCCCGCCCCTAATGGTCTCGGGGTGCTTTCCACCCCCCCCTCCCACAGCTGACGTCTCTTCTGTCTTTCCCTCCCACCCTGGTTTTCCGCCGCCAGGTGCTCCGCCAGTGCCGTCCAGCCACCTCTGCCCCTGCCGTTACCGCCCAGCCATGGTGCTAATTTGGGGCAGTACAGCAAAGGCTACTATGCCCCCGGGTGAGTCTCGCGCCTGGCCAGGGGGGGGGGGGGGGGGGGGGGG